TAATTACTACCTCATAACTATGTTAAAGTGCCCATTCTTAGGGGTGATCTCGACATAGGGGCCACAAATAAAAATTCTGAATCCGTAGATCGATTAGAATTCAAATTCTAAGTAATATCCTCCTACAAACCATGCTCATACGTGTTGTGGTTGGAAAGCTATAGTCCAATCTCTCCAGAGTGCCAAATTTGGCAGGGAAAACAAGCTGATTTCGCATTTTTGGAGCAATAAATAAAATTTCTACATGGAAAACTCTCTCAGTGGATTCAATCACATCATTCCCTCAAACCCAGTGCAAAAAATATATTGAATTGGTGTTGTGGAAGGTACAAAGTCCATGTCTCAAGAAATTGGCCCTGTGACGCTATGTCACGGCATGTCACTGGTCATCACACTTACCAAGGATTGTGCAACACCACTACAAACCATTGTAGTCTGAAAAAGCAGATACAATTAACTTTTGTAGTCTTAAAAAGCGGACACTACAAACCATTGTAGTCTGAAAAAGCGGACACTATTAACTTTTGTAATGAAAAAAGCAGACACTACTAACTTTTGTAGTCTCAAAAAGCGGACACTACAAACCATTGTAGTCTGAAAAAGCGGACACTATTAACTTTTGTAGTCTCAAAAAGCAGACACTACTGATTTTTGTAGTCTATTAGTAAACTTTGTAGGCTATAACTTACTTTTGTAGTCTGTCAGTGTCAATTACCCTTTTAGGGCATGTACCTTCCTCTTTGGGAGAAATTTCCCACAATACAATAGTTGTAGCCCCTTCTCTTAGCTTTCTAAATCTATTGAAATCATGTTGTTTAGTGTTCTTTTCATGTAGAAAAATCAAAAAAAAAAAAAAAAAAACACAGTACCTTTGAAAACCTTTTACCTCATATCTCCACAATGGAAGCACTTTAGGACATAATTCCAACTGATTCAGGAAGCTATGGTAAAGAGCTACAACTTTTGTTTTTTTTACCATTTTTGGAAATTGGTCATGTGACCACCCTCCCAATGACCCATTGGATGGACTGTAATAGCTATTTTATTGCTATCATGGAATATAATGAAAAATCGTAATGATAGCCCTGGGGGTAGATATGAAATTGGAATGAAATATTGAGATACTCAATGAAACATCCCAATGAAAGCTGTGGAATATTCAATGAAAGTGCACATCATTAATTATGAAGGAAGCAATGAATACATATAACCTAGCTAATGAAATATTTATTGAAATGCACAATGAAAGCACCCAGAATTAATAATGAAAGTGCACAGCATTAAATATGAAAGAGGCAATGAATACACCTGACCTAGGGAATGAGATATTTATTGAAATTGCACAACATTAATTAGGAAAAGTACAATGAAAGCATCCAATATTCCTAATGAAAGTGCACAGCATTAAATATGAAAGAGTCAATGAATACACCTGACCTAGGGAATGAGATATTTATTGAAATTGCACAACATTAATTATGAAAAGTACAATGAAAGCATCCAATATTCTAATGAAATATTCAATGAAAGCGCACAGCATTAAATATGATAGAGGCAATGAATACACCTGACCTAAGGAATGAGATATTTATTGACATTGCACAACATTAATTATGAAAAGTACAATGAAAGCATCCAATATTCCTAATGAAATATTCAATGAAAGCGCACAGCATTGAATATGAAAGAGGCAATGAAGACACCTAACATAGTCAATGAAATATTTATTGAAATCACACAGGATTGATTATGAAAAAAGCAATGAAAGCGCCCAAAATTCCTAATGAAATATTCAATGAAAGTGCACACCATTAATTATGAAAAAGGCAATGAATACACCTAACCCAGTGAATGAAATACCTATTGAAAGCACACAGGTTTAATTATGAAAAGTACAATGAAAGAACTGAACAGCTTCAATGAAAAATTCATAGAAAGTGCATGATAATAATTATGAAAGCTTTTATGAAAGCTCCTAAGAAATGTTATGAAAGGGTCCTGTGGTCTTTGGCTACATTTTATGAAAAGAACATAGCCTTTATGAGAAAGAAAGACACAGGACACACCTATGAAAGGCCTTTCATAAAACTTGTGGACTTATACACACAGCTCTACAGGCAAGTGCCTTAGTTTTATGATAAAGGTGGTAGCCACTTGTGATTCTTTATCACATTGTTTCTGGTTGCACAATAATCTGAGGACATGATGGTGTGAAGGTAAGTTCACATTCCGGCGTGTCCTGATATATATATTGTCATCACATGGGGAAAGGGAAAGAATAATAACAAACCGTGCCATCTTTGCTTCCTTTGGTTACAATGTCAATACCCAAGCAGTTGCCAGCAGAAGTAGTCTCTTGTATCATCGAGCAGGCTACTAGCGATGAACCATCCCTTTCGAAACTTGTTCGGTTCAGTCACATAAACTCTGTGTTTGCAGAAAGCTGTCGCACTGTTTGCGTAATCCACGCTTTCATGGACGACGCAGTCATGGATTCATTATTCGAGATATTGGGGAGCATTCATGGGCTTATCAGGGGATCAGTAGCTTTGGCCGTCATAGAACCTGGCTTTTTCATTGATCATCCCCCTGGAGATATCGACATCATGACACCATCTGGCACAATGACTGAGTGGGTTGCATGGTGCAACAGTCACGGTTTCGTGGACAGAGAGACTGGAGAGGTCAATCCAGACAGAGAAGATTCGACGAAAAGCATTCTGTGGGTCAGGATGCACAACGTAAGTATTGAGTCATTTCACAATATCGACGTTATTTACCCATGATTAGGGAATGGAGCTCAAAATCCACCAAAGTCAAAACTCATCTGCGTTGTTGACATTGTTGACCTCCAATTTGACGTCGCAAATGAACACAATTTCTCCTTTTCGAATCTATTGTTTTTACCCATGGATGACCGTCAACAGAATATTGATCTCATGCCAAGGATCACCTACAACATTGACCAACTGGAACGTCAGTCGATCGAATACTACTGGTCGACATGTTTGTGGAATGGGCCATGTGGCCGAGGCTGCCCCATGATATGGGATCTATCATACGGTTTGGAAGGAGTTGGAACATATGAATGGTCAAGGAGGGCTCACCTTTCATACAATGTTTTCGCAGAAACACATCTGTGATGGGGCATAGGCAATGACTGTTACAATGTTCACTGTCCGTACAGAGTACAAGAGATTGACTAGAGGTTGATGCAATGTATGATAATGCGTAAATGTACAAATTATTCGAAGTCTACTTTTTTGAAGGATGAACTACAACAAGATTTTGCATCTCCATCATTAAATCGTCTTTCTTGCAGATAGGTTGTATGCTAATGTCTCTCAACTTGCATTTGTGTGCGCTATATGTCAAAACTCTGAAAACCTTTCCCATACAGTTGCCTCTGATGGCCGTTACCAACACATGTTTCGTGTCGGGAGCGACGGGTGCCAGGTACTGCATTGGAATGTGCTGCCGTTCTCGTAGAAAACTGACCACGGCTGTGTTGCCTTTAGGCTCCAAGAATTCCAAATTCTTGTTCTTGTAAGCCATATACTCCATAGGCACATCAATATCCGCAATTTTCAAACAGATGTGCATTCCCTTGAAACATTCATCGGCTAGCCAATAGCAAGCAGCGTCTACATCGGACTCAATAATTTATTGATCAATGAACTGCAAAATATATTTACCATTGGTATTCGGCATTTCTGACAATGGATCCCAAGATGGACTTGCTGGGATTTCTTCTGTATTTGGCATTGGCGTCTTCAGCACATCCATTGCTGATATTAACCCCATACTAGTCACACTTTGTTTGCTGTCATTAACATCTGATTTGATTTGTTGTAGGGATCTATTTTCGACTCTACCTCAAAATTAGAATGTTTGTTTCAAAGAGAAATATAGAGTGTACTTACACCAAGGAGAGATCGCTCAATTTGAGTTGCACCTTTCACATAGTTGCGCTTAATTCAACAATAACATCATCATCCACGCAAGTAGATGTTATGTGACCCAAGTAGCCTTTGAAGTTTCCATTTATGACCATGACCTCCCGACCCTGGTAGCTCCAGTTTGGATCATATTTCATATTGATAAGATCCAAGGAACGTAGGCTTTCTCCATTCAGCCCACTGTTGAGCTGAACCCATGACGTTGTTGGCCTTTTATTTGAAATATTGGACGGGACACAGAACATTGCTGGTATAGGCTGAAACACTGTCTGCCAGCTGAGGACTTTGACCTGATGGAGGAATTTAAAAGGTTAGAACATCATCAATAGCTGAGTTGAGTTGTGTACCTCAATCTTGGTAGCCGGGTCATAAAGTGATAAAACATTATCAAAGCATGTCATGACAAAACCTTTTAGGCCTTTGTGAATACCCGCCACGACCTCCACGTTGTCACCTGACTTGAAGTTCCGTTGGATGTCTTGTAAGGGCAATGAATAGAGTAAATCCTGGTCTAGGAGGTACAGTGACTCACTATAAGTTTTGCACCACTTAAAAAATACTATATCTTCCTCAACTTCTGGGGACTAGTTACCATATAAATATGACAATATACAAATATTCTATATACATCTTTGACATGAATATGAGGCCTGGATCTCATCCTCTGCTTCATGTAGGAAAAAGTGAAAAAATGAGGTTTTGAGAGATTTACCAACACTTCATATGAGGGTCTAGAAAAATGTGAAGAATTAAGTACTTGCTGACTCAAGTATACAGAACTTTGAATAATATCAATTGGATTAGCGGTTGTTGAGATATAGGTGTAAGAAAAGGGCTTGTTTTGGGGTAGATGATGAAACAAGGCCCATTCTTACACCTATATCTCAACAACCACTACTCCAATTGAAATGAGTCAAGGTTCTGTATACTTGAGTAGGCTAGTACTATATATTCTTCCAACTCTCACATGAAGTATTTGTAAAACTGTCAAAACCTCATTTTTGATCTACCCAAAACAAGCCCCTTCCTTACACCTATATCTCAACAACTGCTAATCCAATTGATATCATTCAAAGTTCTGTATACTTGAGTCAGCAAGTACTTAATTCTTCACATTTTTCTAGACCCTCATATGAAGTGTTGGTAAATCTCTCAAAACCTCATTTTTTCACTTTTTCCTACATGAAGCAGAGGATGAGATCCAGACCTCATATTCATGTCAAAGATGTATATAGAATATTTGTATATTATCATATTTATATGGTAACTAGTCCCCAGAAGTTGAGGAAGATATAGTATTTTTTAAGTGGTGCAAAACTTATAGTGAGTCACTGTACACATCTGCCTCGTCTTCTGTTATTGTGCAAATCTCTCCTGACAATCCAATGCAGTCACCACCTATAATCAGAATCATGTCACCTGGACGAAGTGTGCGAGAGGCGATTTGTGTTGCAGTAGCAATAAAGATGTGAGGCGGTATTTCTTCACATTCTCTGAAGGCGTTCAATTCAGCTGCGGTAGGGAAGCAAGGCTTTTGGGAGTAGAAGGCGGTATCGACGTCGCATAACAAGAAGTAACCACAACCGGTGTAAGTTTGCTCTTGGAAATACCAGCGGCCATTCCGATTTTCTATTCTGCCAGGCCCAAGTTTTGTCTGAATGTCATGGGCGTCGAGAAGCTGCGGTTGTGGCCAGATCCCCAGCTTTCGTTTCCGGCCTTGATCATAGGCAATGCGAGGCATGACGATCACATCGATATGCAGTGATCTAGAATCGACGTGGCGAATGTAAGCGATGTCCCCTTGATATCGACCCCTTCGAATTCTAATCCAGGAATCAGGGGATGGTGTAAATCGAATTCCGCTGGATAGACACAGGTGAGCTTCTTCAAGAGGCAAAACCCTCATGTCGCTTTTATTGAGAACGTCGAATTGTCGAGCCACGGAATTAGCTGCATTGAAAGAAGCAGCTTCAACGAAGATCCGTCCAGGATGGCAATTGCGAGCAATGGCTGATCTTATGGGAGGAGACACTGTGCTCCAATTCACAAAGGCTTGAAGGATTCGAAAGATGGTCGTTTCTTCTTTCCCCATCTGCAGTGGCTGATTAGTTCATCAATCAATAGGTATGCTACAAGTAAATCCTACTGGACAAGTTATTTCGTAAAGACGATAGTCATTTGTTCTTGGGCCTTGATAATCAGGAAGGTTGTGACTATCGTAGTCAACTGATCGAATGTGAGCGCGTTCCACGAAACTTTGCCATCCAGCATCGATATCGCCTCCTCGTGAATTGAATTCACGTAACAGGTTTCCATGTGCTCCAGATTCGTCGTCGTAAGGCTCCTCATCGTCGATAAGATCATCTATAGAGATTATAAGTATTGTCAAATGGGGTGAACATTCACTTACGGAGGTTATCATTGTCAGGTTCATAGTTGTCTTCTTCCGCGTCGACTACAGCTTCTAAATCCACGAAAGTCAATGCAAGCTGGGTCCTATAAGTAAAGTTGTTGTTCACGACGTATTCTATGCAAATTGACTCACATCTACCCGTCTTTTTTTTGGAGAGTGAGTCTCCGACATTGTCAATGCGAATGACTTGTGTACTATAACTTGAAGCACTCAGTTGTTGACAACACATTGTTGTTTAGGAGAGGCATCCGTTGTCATTGACGAACCAACGGGTTTCGGTGTGTCAAATCATTTTCTTCCAAAAATTTACATGGGCTACTACAAATTTACAGAGTCTACCCAGAGTCTACCCAAACACATATGTGAGAACAAGGAACTAAGTAGGGAGAAATGGTAATGTGTCAATGCCAGCTGGTATATATAGCACTCACTCTTTAGGGCCAGCTTGTCGAGCCATTCCTGCTGGCCCTAAACTTCAAGTGGTCTACTGGATTTCGGATGTAATAAAACAGGTATATGACCCAGATATGACCTTGGGGCTCCTTGGGGAGGTACGCTTTGATGGCAAACCCAACCAGATGAAGAATTGAAAGAAAAAGAGGAGAAGAAAAGGAAGGATGACAACTCTTGTAGAGGATGCCAGGGTTTCCAAAAGACATTGCATGGATGGCTCCAACCAGGTTGAGAGGGTGGTTGGAGAACCTATTCCTATTGAATTCCTGCAATCTTTGTATGATACTGAACTCTGTGTTGCAGTTCCCCTGCCTTTCTTCCTCACCCGGAATTTACAGTCCCTGGTTGATGAGGCATCAACTCTTCCTACCGTCAAATCCAACCCTGCGCCTGGGGAAACAAAGGGGACATATTCTAAATATAGAGAAACTCTCTAACTGTTTTGGCAAAGAGTTAACCCTGACCTGTAGCCAGTGGTCCGAGGCCGCTGCCAACATGTGGAACTTTCAGATTTCAAGGGACAAGTCTGGTAGTGAAGGGGAACACGCCTCCTGGTTCGAAAAGCATTTTAATTTTTTTAATATGCTGTATAAAAGGGATGAATTGTACGATGCGTGGAAGGATATGGAGCTCGAGTTCCACCAAGATCATCGCAGTCACCATCTCAAGTTTAGCGCAACAGATTATGACAGGGCCCTGGGCCTTACCGAAGAAAGCCATAAGCTGCGCAGGGAGTTTCAAGATTTGGTGAATTCTTCCCAGACGGCATCTGGGTGGTCGGGCCCACCTTACCGAGCCAACACTAGCGCTCTTTCCCAGAGGGTTCCGCCATGTGGTCCTTCCCAATCTTCAACCTCCTCCCAGCCCTTTTCATCAGGCAGCGGTAAGTCCTCCTCCTCCGCCGTCTGCCTTATCTGCGTGCAAGGGGGCCACACAGTTTTCTTCCACCTCAAATCCTCCTCTCCCACCAAATTTGCCGACAGAAAGCTTACTTGGGCAAAATGCAAACCTGGTTTCGGCCTTGTCACACCTGACAACCAAGTTCTCTGCATCAATTGGAACATTCGAGGCCCTGACGCCACCTCTCAATGTGCCTCTTCCCATAGGGACGACCGCCTCCACTTGTGCTCCTTCTGTGGCAGCAAGGGCCATTTCGCCCTCTCCTGGACTTGTCGCACCAAAACCGCTTGAAGACCTCTTCACTGTTGCATGCCCCCCTTCTCTCTCCTACTCTGACTTCTCGCTTTCGGTTATCTCTTGTCCCCTCTCGCATTCTCCACTGCCCAGCACTCTTCTATTTTCAAGCGTATCCCTCACCCTTACAACGCAGACACTTTCGATTTCTTCCTTTGCAAACATGGCCTCTTTCCTGCTTATCCTCTCCTCTCCCATAATTTGCGGCATGGCTTCCCTCTGGGCCACATGCCTGTGCTTTCAGAATCCATTATTCTCCCCAACAATCCTTCCACCTTCCCCTACATGCGTGATATACAGGACTACTTGCAAAAGGAACTGCTAGCTGGCAGGATGTCGGGCCCCTTCTCTCGTGAGGAGGCAGAGCTCATTTTGCGCGGCCCCCTCTTTTCATCTCCTTTCATTGTTGACGTTCAACCTCAGCAACCTGGTACGCCTGACAAAATTAGGATTTGCAGGCATTTATCCAAGGCTTCCAAGTTACACCCCTCTGTCAACTCGCATATTCAGAAGGAGGACTTTCCAATGTGTTTTGACCTGGCATCCAAGGTCGCTGATATTGTGAGTTTCTTCTTTTCTGTCTCTTCCCCACACTTTCTCTATCTTCTGTTATGCCCCCCTTTGTGTTTAGTGCATGGGGTGGCTTTTCTTCTTTGCTGCTCTATGCAGTTTGACGTATTTGCATTCTTAATGTGTTACCTCAGACACCTGTCCTGTCTCTCTTGCGCATCTTGCGCCTCTTGCGCCTCTTGCGTCTCTCTGTGACTGGGCACTTCTTTTGCTTGTGTCCTTTGCTTTTCTTGCGCACCTCACACTCTCTCTGTGGATGGGCATCTTTTGTCTGTTTGCAGGCGCCTTTGGGCCTCTTCATGGTGCCTCATCTTCTTGGGGACCCCTTTCACCTTCCTTTCTTTTGTCCTTCTCCTTTTTTTGTGCCTTTGTCCCCTTTCTTTTCTACTTCTCCTTTGCTTGTCTTTCTCGTGCTCATCTCTGCCTTGCAGATTGCCCTTGCTCCTCCGGGGACTCAGGCTTGTACCTTGGATATTGCCAAATTCCATCGTACTTGTCCTGTTTTGCCTGCTCATAAACCCTGGCTGGTTGTCCAGGGGCCTCCTGGCCAATTTTTTGTTGACCACGCCCATCCTTTTGGGGCTGCCTGTGCCAGCAGTAATGCTGGTATGATTGCCAATGCTGTCGTTGACATCTGGCAGGCAGAGGGTGTTTTTCCTGTCCCCAAGTATGAGGACGATTTGAAGGTCTTCTGGATGCCTTCTTCGACAGGCCTCTTCCGGGATGGGGACTACACATATGATTATGACTGGGTAGAAATGCTTCGTCGGA